TTATTTTGTTTTCTTTTTTATTGTATCTGTGATTGGCTTGTTCTTTTGTTTTTTTTATTGTATCTGTGATTGGCTTGGTCTTTTGTTTTCTTTTTTATTGTATCTGTGATTGGCTTGGTCTTTTGTTTTCTTTTTTATTGTATCTGTGATTGGCTTGTTATTTTGTTTTCTTTTTTATTCTATCTGTGATTGGCTTGTTCTTTTGTTTTTTTTTATTGTATCTGTGATTGGCTTGTTCTTTTGTTTTATTCTTTTTTTCTTCTTCTTGAAATTTTTTTACATAAATTTAAATTATGTAAATAATATACTGGCAATATTGAAAACAAAAAAAAAAGAAAGAAAAATAACTAACCAAGAACATAGGATACGAAACAAATAAATTTGTTATGTTTGAGAAAGGTGAGAGTAAGTGAGAGAAAAATAAAGAGAAACAGAGTGTGATAGAGAGAAAGAGATGAAGAAAAAGGGACAAGAAATGAAAAGGGAAATAGTTAAATATTCATAAGATGTACTCTAGAGCATCTGGATAACACAGTTTGGAGCATCGTCCATACAATAATGAAATTTTAATTTTTACTTGTTCTTAATGGACGAGAAATAATTAAAATTAGCTTGAATATAAAAATATTTTTTTAATTTTTATTCTATATTTTAATTTTTTTCTTTGTTTTCTGCATCATTTAAACCACCTTTTAAAAATATTTTTATTTTTTATTTTGTGTATTTCGTATTTTCTTTTTTTTATTTCTTCTTTTTTTTCCTGCTTCATTTAAATCTCTTTTTATAAATATTTTTATTTTTTACTTTGTATCTTCTCTCTTTCTCTGTTTTTTTTTTCTGGATCATTTAAATTACTTTTTAAAAATCTTTTTTATCTTTTACCTTGTATTTTCTTTCTCCTTCTTTATTTCTCTTTTTTTGTTCTGCATCATTGAAACTACTTTTTAAATTTTTGTTTTTCTCTTATTACAAAACAAAATAATTTTGTAATATTAAAAAACATAAATGAAAAATAAAAATGGAAAGGTATATAATGTCTTAATTAAATTATCTATTTATCAAATTTTTTTAATCGAATTAATATCAAATTTATTAGATACCGTATATATACTTAAGAAAAAAATATCATAAAAATTGATTACAATCTTTGATAATATAATTATACATTTTATACAGATTGGTGGTGAGAGGAAGAACAAGAAGAAAGGGTCCAACGAAAAAAAAAAAAAAAAAAAAACAAAAAAATGGGTGTGATAAGTGTTTTTTCTGATATTACCGAACATTTTTATTCGTCCTTCGTAAAAGTAATTTGTGTAACCATTAAATTTCTNCGAATTAATATCAAATTTATTAGATACCGTATATATACTTAAGAAAAAAATATCATAAAAATTGATTACAATCTTTGATAATATAATTATACATTAGAAATCAATTACTTTTTAAGTAAACATTTTATACGCATGTTGTATTTGAAAAAAAAAAAAAAAAAAAAACAACAAAAAAATGGGTGTGATAAGTGTTTTTTCTGATATTACCGAACATTTTTATTCGTCCTTCGTAAAAGTAATTTGTGTAACCATTAAATTTCTCCAACGATAAAATAAGCAAGTTCTTCACCCACACCTTTAATTTTTTTCCCCCTAATGTTGACTCAGCTTCTATACTCACGTAATAAACTTATAATAAATGTGTCTGTAATACAAAAAAAAAATTCTCCTTTTCTTAAATAAAAAGTTGTTGTAAAATAAACCAAGAAAAAAAAAAAACCAAAAAACAGACTGTTCAAAAATAAAACAAGAAACACAAATTGTTCAAAAATAAAACAAAAAACACAAATTGTTCAAAAATACAACAAAAGAAACTTTTTTTACAGACTTTAATTATCTCAATTATTTTTACACGAATTTTTCTATTTGTTTTCTCTTTTTATTCTTTCTTTTTTTTTTTTTTTAGTTTAAGTGAAAATTATTAAGTAAAAAAAAAAAAAATCGATCATAATATATTCTCCATTTTATCTAACTTTTTCTTTTTTTTTTTTAAATCAGTATTTCACGATACTCGTTTTCTATCGAGTCCGATAACTGAACGTGAAAAAAAAAAAGAAAAAAAAAGACATATTTCTACGACCTCCAAGGTTTTTTTCTTTTTTTTCTTTTTTTCTTTCTTTTTTAAACCATCTATTATCGAAAATCCACTTTATCATTTTTTGATTTTATTTATCATTTTTAACATGTGACAAATAAGAACGATTGTATTTCGTAGGAACAAAAGAACAATAGAAATGAACGTAAAATGATAATGTGATTTATAAAAATGATTTATAAAAATGATTTATCAAAATGATTAAGAAAAAAAAAAACATAAAAAACATCTTACTTAATAGAAATATTATTTTTTATATATTATTATAATTAAAATTAATCAACATTTTTATAATTATATAATTTTATAATTGTTGTATCGATATATTATAAAAATACTCTGTTTGCAATTATATTGTTATAGAAAAAGAAAAGGAAAAAAAAAAAAAGTAGAAAAAAAATATGAAGAAAGTTTGAACAAAAATGATAAATGTCGAAAGTTACCTATCATTGACACGTGTCACCATCGTCGTCGAATTTTTGTGTATTCTCGACGTTGTAGGGGAGGCGTTAGGGATTTATATAAAAATCACGTAAGTCCAAAAATTCAGTCTATAATAAAAAAAAAAAAAAAAAAAAAAAAAAAAATAAAGAAGAAGGGGAGGGAAAAGATTTGAGGATCATCATCAATGTTTTCTCTCACTCTCCTCGGTCAGAAACTTTCTTTTTTCTACGACTTGTATTAATCATATCCTTTTTGATACTCTGTGCTGTGTTCGTCGTTTTTATGTCAATAAATTTGTCATCAAAGAAAATAATCTAGATAAACTAGTTATTATTACGATTACAGTTTGTTTGTTTTTTTTTTTATTGAATATTAATTACACACATATGTCAATGTTATTTATAATGTAAAAGTAAAGTGTGGCAATTTTTTCATCGAATACATGAAGAAACTTGTTAACAAGAAAACAAAAAAAAAAAAACAAAAAAAAAAGAAATACAAACACACATATGTTTTTTTCCCTCCCAATACTCGAAGTAAAAGATCGATAACGAAGCATGCAATCATGATGTTTGCATAAAATTCTTTTTTTTCTTTTTTTTTTCTTTTTTTTTTTCATAATCCTGTCGTTTACAAACGCTTATTTTATGCATAAAAAGATTATACATATATATATTATAATTGATATATATCTATGTCTTCTATAGAAATGTTTGAATAAAAATTTCAAAGCGAGAATAAATTGCAAGGCTAATTGGAAGCTTTAAGGGAAAAATATTGGATCGAATGATAAATAATATTTTAGAATATTTATTATTCTTTTATCTTTTAATTACTGATATTATATATAATATGTTTTTATTGTAAATGTTTAATATTATTTTAAATCAAAATAAATCACATAAAAGTTATTTTATGTATTGAACAATATATTTAATATAATTTATTGGGATCTCTAGCACTTGAATACGTTATCTGGTGGCTAAATTCAAAATTAAAGTAAATCGGTCGAATTGCTACACCACGTGAGATCTCTAGCACTTGAATACGCTATCTAGTGGCTAAATTCAAAATTAAATTAGATAGGTATAATTGCTAGGCCACGCCCCTGCTAAAGATCTCAATACAAATTTTGTTATTTGTATTACTTTTTTTTTTTATATTAATATTATCTTTTTCTTTTTATATTTTTCAATTTACATAATATTTCTACGTTAATTTCACATTACACGATAATTAGGTTATGTTATCTAACTATATACATACGTTTTTAATCGTATTACTTTTCTTTTTTCATATTACATTTTTATACATAAAATATAGGATTATTAGTAAAGTAATTTTGTTTGTTTTTTTTTTTTTTCCTAACACAATAAATACATTAATTAATGTAAACCTTTAAATAACAACGTGTGAGATCAGTGAGTTGTTAATTTTAATTAATTCAACTGTTTACGCCCACTTGAAATGCGTAGGTTTAACCTCAAACAGCTAAAATTGTCTTCATTTTTACCAAAAAAAAAAAAAAAAAAAAATTACAAAAATATTACATAATATATACGTATACTTTGGAATTTTATTTAACAATGGATAACATGAAGAAAGAACTTTTTCTTTCTTATGTAAGAATAGTATATCAGTTTTGTTAACGTGTAATATATGTCAGATATCTACCCTTCTTTTTTTTGTTCCCAACCCCTCCCCCTGCCCCTCCCCTACCCCTGACCCCTTAAAGTGTCTTTCTAACCATAAGTGTATTGTGATACAGAAAAAAAAAAAAAAGATAGAGAGAGAGTATCGTTATGATGGTAATAAATATATGTTCGAGGATAAGAAAATCCTTCAAAAGACGTAAATCATTTTCTGTAACGTAATATCTTTCTTTCTACGTATTTCGTCGATCGATTAGGTATAAGATTTCTATATTTGTTAATTCATGTATAAATGACGAGTCACTTAACTCGAATATCAAGTGAGGTAATTAATTCTATTTCTGAAACAATGAAAATGAAATTATGATTGACGTTGATTTTCGCATGATTATTTTATATCGTTAATTAGACGTTAGTTATCTTGAAAGATATTTAAAGAGAGATTTATTTTCATTGATAAAATAAATCCCTTCTTATTTAGATAATTTAAACTATTAAACTAATTTGAAATCATCAAAATAGTACTTTTTAACTGATAATATCTATGAAACGTTTAGCAATGAGTTTTGATTATTAATCAGAGAGAAAATTATTATATTTTAATATGAAAATGAAATGTGTGTGTATGTGTTTTTTTTTTTTTTTTTTTTAATTAAAAAAATAAATAGACGAAAACTAAGGAATTTTGTATCGTAAAATAATTTCATTTGAAATTTCTAATATAATTATATAATTATTAAAAATAATAATATTACAAAATATAATATACAATTATATGTAATTATTATTTTGTATTAATTAAAAAATAATATATTTAATTTATATTTAATGTAATATATTATTTATAATAATAATAATAATTAAAAATTAATATAATTATATATCATATGTAATTTATAATATATTATATAATTTATATATATTTTAAATATACAAAATAATATTAAATTATAAATAATATATAATTATATTAATTTTTAATTTATTTAATTTTTTAAAATAAACAAACCCATACGCAAAATTAAATAAATGTTGTAAAAGAAAAAAACAAAATAAGAAAAATAAATAATCTATGATTTCGTTGAAACACAATTCGTAGATATTTTTATTGTAATCGTTATCTCAACTCTCATTTAAATGAAATGATAGAAAAGAATTTGTTACTTTGAAGAAAAATGTCACGTCTAATATTACAATGATATTTAATGACACATTTTTTCTATCGTAAATATCACAAATTACTTTTATAAAATAAATATATATATATATATATATTTTCTCTTACCAAGTACTATCCACATGACGATTATATTTCCACCGGTTGCTATTAATAAAATAATAGCAAAGATCAATGACCATGAAAGTTTTTGCCACCATGGTAAATCATATGGACGTTCTTGTTCACCGTGAAAACATTCGAAAAATGCATCTTGTTCTGATACCTTTAACAATGGCAATGTTTCATCTAACAACGAGATAAGTTCGCTGTAATTTAATTTTGTTAATGTTGATACGTTAGTTTTTAAAACGAACGTACTACAATTGTACAAATGAAACAAATTCACACTTTTCATATTTTTTTAATCCAACACTTTATGTAGATTTAAATAAAAACACTGTCCAATATTTTTTATCCATAGAAATTCATTCACACACTGGACACCATAATCTCGGATTTAATTACTTAATAATTAGATTCTCAACTTTTGCACGAATATTAAATATTTGAATAATACAATTGTCACCAAAAAAAAGAAAAAAAAGAAAAACAGACAAACTTCTTTCATTTAAATTTTAATTTTAATTAACTAATGCATTTGTTGTTGTTTTTTTTTGTTCTTATAATTAGGTGCGAAGTTTTTTTTGTAAAACAATTTATTTATAAAATTATGAAATGTATGTGTATGAGTTAAATTAAATTAATTAATCTTTTGAATTATTTCAATTTTTTTTTTTAATAAATTATTATTTAGATTGTATTTTTAACAATAATTTGTTTGTTTTCTTATTCTTATAGATTATATTATTTTTATATTATTATTATTATTATTATTATTATTATTATTATTATTGTACAGTCTTGTTAAGAGTATTGTCACACACACACACAAGAAATCCTTTGATAAATTTGAGAGATGATAAATGTGAACTTTTTATAAATTCAAAGTACTTTTTTTTTTTACAGTTTGTAGTAAAACTCTTGTATTTAATATAATACGATCATAACATCATTTTTCTCTTTTAAATCTTCCATCAGTTTTTATTCATAACGTATATATATATATATAGATGTATTAAATGAAACTGATCTCGTATTTTCCTCTTGAATTTTTATTATGTTAATCCACATTTATTTATTTACAATTAAATAGAATCTCTCGCAATGTTGATTATTCATTTATCAACTAAATATTCGACAATGATCTTTTTGACGATCTCAAATGAATAATTTATATATTATTAATATTATTAATTAATTGATGAATAATTTATAACGTTAATTAACATTCAGCACCATTAATTTGTACACAATGTGAAAATTCTATTTATAATATAATTTATAATTGTTTCTTGTTTAATTTGAAACACATTTAAGGCATTGATATAATCTAAAAAAAAAAAAAAAAATAAAAAAAACGACGATTTTTATATTGCACTTTTACTTTGGACAATAAAATTCTTTAGAAAAATTGATTACAAAATTACACGCATGAATTCTCATATCTCGTGTCCTTTCTTTATCAATAAATGGTGACCACCAAGCATACACCATAATTTAAAAAAATCACCAAGTAAAAATTAAAAATGATAAGATGAAAATTATGATTTAAACATTTTTTTTTTATAAAAAGTTTCTTTTGGATCGAAATCAAATATCGATCATTTCGCAAATTCAAATTAAAAAAAAAAAAAAATACAATAAAATGATTAATATTGATTATTTATGTTTGTTTTTAATTTGATTAATTGTATTTTTTTTATTTTTGTATTTTTGTTGTTTGATTCTAACACATCGTGTACGTTCTATCCTATTTTAGATTGATATAACTAAAATAAAAGCAAGAGGTTTTCATTGGGTACCGTTCCCACGAGCCTCGACGGAGATACTGAAGCCTTGAAAAGCATGTTCATTCAAACATGCATGCGCAATAGCAACGTACAACCCTTGTTACTTCTCATTTCTGTTTCTTTACATTCACCCTCTTTTTATAACACATTTTTAAAATTTCTAATTTACTGAGAAAATTCAAATGTTATTTTTTATTCAATAATATTATTCATAACGTTATTTTTCGTTCCTAAGTTGTATCATGCTACAGTTTGCTTATTTTTATTATCTTTATTAATTATCATAAAGTTAATTTAAATATTTATATAATTATATGTGAAATAATAACACGTTCTAACTAAAGAAACAAAAAAAAAGAAGAAGAAGAAGATGATATGCATATATATTCATTAAAATAATCTAATTAATATTAATTAAATCATAATTATAAGTTTAAACAGTATGATATTAGAATAAAAAGAATAATATTATTTTATTCGTGCATACTAAATCAAAATGTAGGTTCCAAAATATTGATGTGAGATAAACTTTTGAAATTTCAATCTCACTAGAGCATATTCTTAATTTTAAGTACCCGCATATTACTAAAAGTTTTAATAGATGGATTAATGTTATACGGTAGAATAAGGAAACGTAAGTTACAACATAGATAGAAAATTCCATTTGGAAAATAAAATATTGAATAAAAATCCGAAAGAAAAGAAAAGAAAGAAATAAGAATTATGAAGCAATACAAATATTTTCTAAGTAAAAATCTATTGATTTTCATTTAATATACTCAAACAATTTATTATCTAAACAGTTTAATCCATTTTCTATTTTATTCATCTCTTCTTATCCTTCTTCTTTTTCTTTTAGTTTATTTCACGTCCTATGGGAACTGTTGCCTATATACATTTCGAGAGACTATAGCCAACAATATGATTTTCAGATTGCCTTACTTACCATAAAAATGTCAGAGAATGAGAATTTTCATGCATTTAGGAAAAGGGTTGAATACCATTTGAGATATACTACTACCAATAATAGAAAAGCTTAAGAATTTCTTCCATATTGGTTTAATTTATTCTTATTTTCAATAATTTATATATTTTAATATGAAAATTTAATTAAAACTGTTCATCTCACAACCCTAACATAAAAATGTTTTAAAAAAATATTTTTTGGCTTTATTTTTCATTGATTTTTATAAATATGGTCTCATCCGAAAGAATAAGGTTTGAATACTTTATCATTTTTTGCCACATTTAAACTACAAATATATATATATATATATATANNNATATATGCAACTTTATAAATTGAAATAATAAAAATAGAAAACGACAAATATCGATTAATGTTTTAAACCCAGGATAAATACTTGTAAACATAAAATATTTCATCAAAAAAAAAAAAAAAAGAAGAAAACATTTTTAAAATCTGATGATTCTCATTGTTTTCCAATTAGTTTTTTTGTTTTAATTTAAACATGATGCATGTTAATGGTATACCTAGAATTTTGTTTATGTTTATATTAAATCCTATTATTAAGATTTATTTAGAATCTCGATGAATACATGTTATATTTTTTAAATCGTTTGATACAATATAGATTTTAGTTAAAGCAAATGAAAAGATTAAAACTTCATTTCTTCTTTTTTGCTTTCCTAAAGAAAAATATTTTTTTAATAGTCTTTTCAATTCTATTTCACATAACCAAATATTTGTATTAATGCATTTTATTTAAATATAAAACATATATATATATTTATTTATTTACATCTTTGATCAATTATTATTTTTATAATTAATATAATAAATTCAAATATATAAAAAATGCGAAGTAATGTAGCTGTTGAATTTCCTGCACTTTACTCGACCAATCAGAACGTCGCATTAGCAGTAGCTACACTCAGATGTCGTTTGCGCAGCCTAGTGGAGAATCGTCTAATCAATCGCTCGCTCGCTCGTGTGTGCACGTGGTGTTGTGTTTTATGTGAAATAATAATTTATCAAAATGAAAATAAAAAGTGCAACAAAAGTGTTAAGAGATAAAGCTCTTAGAAAAGCTGTGTCTAATAAGACAAGAGTTTCAAAAAGTTCTGGTGAATCGGCATTAAAAAAAGCTGTGAAAAATGTGAAAGAAGTTATTGAGGTTAGAATTCATTTATAATTATACATTTTTCTAACAATACCTTTTTAATATCAATACTTAAATACATTCTTGATTTCAAATACTTTTATAGAAAAAACAAATTGAAAATAGATCAGCAAGAGATAAGTTGAAAGAATCACTTATTAAGAAAACTGCAAGAAAGAAGCTTCCATTTACTTTTAAAAAAGGGGTTGTATACCTTGGTCACATACCACATGGGTTCTTTGAAGAACAAATGAAAGACTTTTTCTCACAATTTGGTAGAGTTACCAGAGTAAGGCTTGTAAGGTCTAGCAAGGTACGTACTCAATTTGCATACATTTGGTTTCTTCGATGCACACACATACTTTATACCATTTTATCATTTTGTAGACTGGAAGAAGCCGTGGTTTTGGTTACGTTGAATTTGTAGTTCCTGAGGTTGCTAAAATAGCAGCAGAAACAATGAATAATTATCTTATGTGTGGTAGATTAATGAAAGGTATTTATATATAGAAATATTAGTTGTTATGTTACAGTGTAATGCGGTATGAAAGTATTTTGTTCGATAACATACATATCATTAATTTATTTTGTTCAATAATGGTGTAGTAGATTATTGAAAGGTATTTATATTAGTTTATGTTAGATCACAGTGCAATATGAAAATAATTTGTTCGATGTTTACCAACATACTTAACATTAATATAATTTTGTTTGATAACATGTAACAACATATATACCATTAATTTATTTTGTACAATAAACGTTTAGCAACATACATACCACCAGAGAAACAACACTTTGGCTTCTTCGTTGGAAAAAGTTGGTCACAGACTGCATATCCCACAGCGATAAATAGAAAGAAGATAACTGCTGATAGAAATTCCATAATAAGTGACAATAAGCACAAACAGTATAAGAAGAAATGTTTACGAAATCTCACAAAGTTGGAGGAGAAGTTAAAAGCAAAAGGTATTGATTTAAAATTCACACCAGTGGTTGACTGTGTCGATGAACAGACATAATGGGGTTTCATATTTTAATTCTTTAATGTGATTTTCATTAATATTTTATTCATTTTTTTTTTTTGGTTCCTTACAAAACTAATTACAACTTAAATTAATACAGTTAAATATTAGATCATTTGTTTTAAGTAATGTACAAATTTTTGAAAAGAATTGACACATAACTTATTACAAGTAAAAATTAAGTAACATTAGCTATTATGTACAATTAAATATGTGTATGTTGTAATAATTAAGCGTATCAAGAAAGCGTTTTACAGTTTTGTAAATTAACTGCATTTCCTTTAGTTCTTTTCCACTTCATTCGTCTATTTTGAAACCATACCTTAACCTAAATATACAAATAGATAAGGATAGATAAGATTTTAGCAATAATTTTGTTACAAATATCATGTATAAAATATATAATTATAAAATATAAAAATATAAATTATTGAATATAATTCTTACTTGACGATCTGTTAAACCCAATGCAACAGCTATCTCATATCGTCGTAAACGTGTCAAATAATTGCCATGTGCAAATTCATTTTCTAAATAACACACTTGTTGCTTCGTGAATGCTGTCCTCTCTTTGCGAGGTCTGTCAACTGTATTATTTGATGTTCTTCTATTTTCTATAATATAAACAAAATCAATTTTTAACATAAATATATATTGGAAATATTAATATTCACTTGATCAGTATTTTTATTATTAATTAATATACAAATATTCTGTTCAATTTAATTTAGTATGTTGATTTAAAACATTTGCAATTATTGATCAGTTTAAACATCAGTCTCATCATTACAAATAAATAAATAAATAAATAAATGTGATTGGTCAAGTAGTAGGAGGATCATGTGGAATAATTTCTTAAAGTGTGCAATTTTCTTGCTGCTCTTCTTAGAACGACAAGAGGATTTTACCACGAACCAAACTTTTTGTCGTATTATATACCGCGTGTTGATGAAAATAGCCTCATATTCGATGCGTCATTGCACAAGTAGTGAGTAGTACACCGTGCCGACTGATAAACTCTTGTGTGTATGTTGTGTATGTTTATGTGTGGGATGTTGATGCCGCTTCTAAAACGTTTGGCTTCATTGAAATACGCGTATATGTTTAAAAAAAAAAAAAAAAAAATATCTAAACTGCCGCTTTAGAACTCCGGTGTGCTGGTTTAACGAAGTACCCTTAGAACTTGATTCATTTTTTCTTTTATTTCTTTTGCTATTTTTTGTTTCTAGTGTCGGCTAGTTTAATTACTTAAATGACGTCAATCGTTGAAATTTTGTTGATAACAACGATAATTATTAGTATGACTAGAGTAGAATGAGAATGATGATGATGATGATAATAATAATGATTTTTTTATTTTATTAATTTTAAGTATCATTTGATTTTAATGATAATAAGATATAAAATTTTGTTTATGAACTTTGAGGATTTTTTTTTAGTAATATTTAATTGTACGATTGATAAATAATATTTATCAAAGTTATAATATTATTAAGTTCTTTTTAATAATAATAGCTTTTGGTAATTTTTAGTAAGTTTACAGTTCTTTTAATTAGAGCAAAATACAAATACATTTATTTATTCACAATATGATATTTTTATTAGATTGCTAATTATTAAATTAATATTTAAAATATATGATTGGTATTTATAAAATCGAATTATTTTCTTATTTTATTCTATAAAACAATGTTATATTAAAATTAATAAAGAGTTTTATAGAGAATAATTAGATTATTTCATATTAATATAAATGTAATATTATAAAGATAATAACAAATATTTGTTATTATTAGAATATTAATTTGTAATTTAATTTAATTTTATAAAGTATATATATTATTTAATTTTTAATTTTTTTTTAATTTAATATTTATTTTTCTAATTTTATTCTATAAAACAACGTCATTGAATTTAACAAAAAATTATTAAATTATTTGAAATTAATATCAAACGTAATATCATTAAAATAATACCAAATATATGCTATTATTAGAATATTAATTTGTAATTTAATTTAATTTAATTTATTAATTAATTTCAATATTTTTAATTTAATTTTTTTTTTAATTTAATATCCCTGGTAATGCAATACTTTTATAAATAAATACCAATCACATGGATTTGACCAAATATTGATGAAAAAAAAAAAAATGAATGGAAACAAATAAATCAAAGTGATTAAAAAATATTGAATCAAAATAGAAGAAAAATATTTTTAATATTTAAAAAAAAAAGAAGATATATTCTTATATATATATATATAAAACAAAATTTTTTTTTTTGTATAATTTTAAAAGTTAAAGAACACAAAGTGGAATAATCGTTTCAATATTAACGATTACTTGGTAATAAAATTGAAAGTATAAAGGGCTAACACAATTAGGCACAAGTTTCTTACGTAATATTTGCGTGGTTATAATGAGTACCAATGCTGATATAACGTCCTCATAAATATTTAGGCTACGTTTGGGTCCCTTTACAGCCTCATCGGCGACGGTAAAGCCATAAAAGCGGTTAATGCAAACGGATTATCAACAAGCAAATGTCGTCGGTATGCGAAAGTTGATCATAAAAATCTCTCGTTTTTATGTCCCTTCGATCGAGAACTTGCATCTCTTGCCCTTTTACGAAAGAAAAAAAGAGAAAGAGAGAGAGAGAGAGAGAGAGAGAAATCGATAGGGTTAAAAGAAAGAAAAAAAGAAAAGAAAATAAGAAAATAAATTATTTGGACTTTTTTTATTGATCGATTTAATCGATCATTTAATTAGCACGAATTGGTACTTGGTACTTTCACGAATGATCTAATTCGATACAAATTTTTCTTCCTTTCATACATATATATATATTTTTTAATTTAATAAATAATATTTAATTTAATATATATTATATTTTATATTATATTATATTAATACAAATATTTTATTATAATATAAATATAAATATAAATATATTACAATATAATATGTAATATATTTTTTTATATAATATAAATTATATATTATATAAATGATATTTTGTATTAATATAAATAAATATATAAATATAAATGCAAATAAAATATATTTTATTTAAGAATTTCATATATATATATATATATATTTTTTATATTTTAAGGAAGAAGAGAACTTATGTGTGTATGTTTGTTTGCTGTCAATCTATGTGCACGTGTATTCATATATTTCATATATTTACTTTTATTTATATATTTTTTTTTATTTTTTTTTTCTATTTTTTTTTTCCTTATCAAAACTTACCGTGATCGATGATTCGTGATTCTTCTTCTTCTTCTTCATCGTAAGAAAAGTTTAGAAGATGATCCACTTGTGATTGAGCGTTAGTTGTTGGCCAAGTTTGAAACTTGGTATCTCTTTCGTTATCTGTTACGTTACTTTGTAAATTTCTTGGAAAGTGTAACATTTCTCCCTTTCGATAAAACGTTCCTGCTGTTGTTGTTGTAGTAGTGGTGGTAGTAGTGGTGGTAATGGTGGTGGTAGTAGCTGTAACTTCTTGACTGTAGATATTTTTTTCCGATAAAAAATCAGGAGACATATCACCACACAACGTTATTGTTGTATCTTCTTTATCAAATCTTTGTTCGATTGGTGTATTACAATTTTGTTGATAATATTGACTCCACCTTGTATTAATCAATTATAAACGATTTATTATACAAAAAAGATTTCAATGAAAAAGAGAAAAAAAAATGAAAACAAACGTATACAAATGTACAGCACGATTTATCGATAATTGTATTGCATTAATACAATGTTTCATTTTACAAAATATTATTATTTGTATCATTATGATTATTACATAGAAATGATTTTGAACACTTGATCTACGAACTGAACCAATTTGACTCATTACAAATTTGATTACTATATATATATATATATATTTTATTTTTTAAGAAACATATGTTGATTTTTAGTTACCAATTATGAGCGACGTATTACAAAAAAGATTTAAATAATAAAAAAAATAAAATAAAACAAATAAGAATGTACAACATTATTTATCGATACAATTGTATTGTATCTAATTGATCTTTCGTTTTACAAAAGATTATTATTATTATTATTACTATTATTAAATAGAAATAATTTTGAACACTAGATTTACGAACTGAACCAATTTGACTCATTGCAAATTTGATTAATATATATATATATATATACATGTATATTTTATTTTTTAAGAAACATATATTGATTTTTAGTTACCCCTAATAATGTATAATTTAGTTATTATTATATAGTTATAATATTAGTTGTATAAATAGGTATGTATACCTGTAAGTACAATAATTTTGTTTTGTATTGATGTTCTGCGAATAACCACCAATGCCATAATATGGAGCAAGTAGTTGATGGTTGGTAAGTATGGTTGACCCCATTTCTTTTGAAGTATTAACAACATTCGATGTTGAAGATCGACTCCAAAATTTATTATTCAACTCTATTATTTCATTTGTTAGTCTTTGATTTGTATTACCGTTGTCAATCCAGGATTCCATTTTTAATGAATTTTTAATTTTTTTTTTCTTTTTTTTTTTCAAGGTAATTTTTACAAACTATGCTAATTTTTATAAACTATGCTAATTTTTATTTATTTTTACAATTATCTTTTTATTGAATTTATTCGAATAATAATTATAAAATAAAAATACAAATAAAAATAAAAATATAAAATAAAATAAAGTAAATTAAATTAAATTAAAATAAATTAAAAATGGAATCAAATACAAATAAAATTAAACATAAATTAACGAACGTTGTTATGGGGTTTGTCACTTGTCACAAAAGAAATGTAATAAACCTTGTTTAACTATAATTAACAATACAAAAGAAAAGAATAGCTAATAAGAACAAACAATTATATAAATATGTTAATTAACACTGAGTTGTTAGTTTATGGTTGTGTGTATTGTCTTAGAAGCAACTTGGAAATGTCAAAGATTTAAACTGACATAGGATGTTAAAGTCAGTTCTCTTGAAAGCAACGTTTAGAAGCAAGAAGGGAGATGGTTAGGGTGAACGTAGGCGAGATATGAAAAACGCGTTGCATGTGGGAGGAGGAGGAGGAGGAGGAGGAGGAGGAGAAGGAGGGCTGAAAAGATGCTGGAACTTCTTACTTACGGTTCTTCTTTCTGAATGTTTTCCTCCAATCATCGTTGGTTTCTACTGGTAGCTTGAGAAAATTAACTGGTCGAAATATCTTGCGAAAGAATAATATGGGCGGGGATTAAAAGTAGTTTCCTTCCTTTTCTTTTGTTTTCTTTTTTTTTTTTTGTCATTTCTATTTTTTTTTCTTTTTTTTTTTTTTGTGGTCTTTGGTCTGTCTTTTTTACTTGAAAAATATTGTCTGTTTAGAAAAAGATGAGGGAAAATATATACGAGAATGTTTTTAATTGTGTCAGAATGAAACTTTTCAACGAGTAATAATTTTCGTCGTGATACATTTTACGTGAAATTTTATATTTTTTGTTTTGTTTATTTGATTTTAGAAATATTTATAAAATATACGAGAGATGACTTTTTTTTTTTTGTAAAATATGAGCTATAAAATGTGAGTAATTTTTTGGAAAGATGATTAATTATGTTAACGTGTAATCAAATTTTGTTTTTTTTTTTTTTTTTTTAGAAGTACTTCAAACAATTTTACATTTATTTTTATTTATTTCAAATAATATAATTTTTAAACAGTTGAGAGAATGTGTGATATAATTTTAAAGAAAAAAACAAAAAAAAAAACAAAAAAGAAAGACAAAAAAAAAAAAAAAAAAAGAATTCATTCATTTATTAGAACAATTATACAATTAATAAATTTTTTTTTTTCAAAAGTACATTAATCAAATCTTACATTTATTTCTATTTAATTCGAAATAATATTCGTCAAATATTTGAAATATAATTTTTAAAAAGTTGAAAGAATGCTTGATAAAATTAAAAAAAAAAAATAATAAAACAAGACAATAAAAGGATTCATTTATTTTTTTTAAAACAATTACACAATTAATACACAATTTTTTTTTTTTTTAGAAGTACATAAAACTTTGCTTTTATTATTTTTTTATTGTAAATAATATTCGTCAAATATTTGAAATATAATTTTTATAAAATTGAAAGAATGCTTGATAAAATTAAAAAAACAAAAAAAAAAATAAAACAAGACAATAAAAGGATTCATTTATTTTTTTTAAAACAATTACACAATTAATACATTTTCTTTTCTTTTTTTTTTTAGAAGTACTTTAAGAGATTTAACTTTAATAATTTTTTACTTAATTCGAAATAACATTTGTCAAATATTTGAAACACAATTTAAATGCTACCCGATTGAATTAAAAAAAAAAGAAAAAAAAATAATCAAGCAAGAAAAGAAAAGAAAAGAAAAAAGAAAGGATTAATTTATTTCGAAATCAAATTATTGGCGAGTATAATTATAATGGGGTTTTTTTTTTTTTTTTATTTGATAAATGATTATGGTGCTTTTGAAAGATATTAATTGTAATTGGATAAACCGATTATAATATCAAATGTGGTTTAAATTGAATCGAGTCTAAGGTAAGCGAAAAAAACTCATCGGTTTCTTTATTGACTTTTTTCATATGAAAGAGAAAGAGAGGGGGAGAAAGAGAAAGAGAGAGGAGAGAGGAGAGGGGGGAGATTGGAGAAAGAGAGAGAGAGAGGAGAGAATGAGAGTAGCAGCGGTATATGTAATAATTATATGTTTTATACGTCAAATGGTATATAATTAAATTTGATAACCCTTTATTAAATATCCCATCACATCTTGTTATAGTTGTTTTGAATTTTATCTATACGGTGTTATTATAATAAAATATTGATATATATATAAAAACTTCATTTTTATACATTTATAAAAAAATAATATATCTCTAAATCTAATGCTAAGTGATGAATTAATTTAATATCATAATTATATTTCAACTATACAACATTTTTCAGATAACATTTTGGTAATATTTATTTATATGAAGATTTTTTAAAGAAAGTATTTTGAAGATTATTTTGATTTTTGTTTAAATTTAAATTGTTAATTTAATTAATTAATTAATTTTTTTTTATTATAAAATTGCGACTTATTTTAACTTATTAAGCAATTTATTATAATATTACTTTTATTGTAATTAATTATATAATAAGAGATAGATATATGGAAACTTAATTTTTATACATTTATAAAATATATTTAAATGTAATGGTAAGTGATATAAATTGATTTAATATTATAATAATTATATTTCAATTATTTCATATTTTTAATTTGGAAAACATGTAGAATATGTTAAATAGAAAACACTTTTCATTTAACATTTTTTTAAATATTCATTTATTTGAAGATTTTAAAGTATTTTTAAGATCAGTTTAATTTGTGTTTAAATGAAAATTCTTTTGCTTTTTTTTTTTTATTATAAAATTATCACATATTTCAACTTATTATAACTTACAATTAGTGCATATTTTATTTATCCCTTATTCCATTGTTTTATTATTTGTAAATATTTTTATATACTCTTTTATTCTTTGTTAAATGCATTGCAAATATCTTCATTTGTATATTATTTCTATTTGACATTTATATTTTCTTTTTTTTTTCTCTCTGTATTACTGTATTACTGTATATTAATTTCTTTATGTTTTTTTTTATTCTTTTTTTATTTAATAAAATTCCTAAATCTTTATAAACGTTAATAAATAAAATAAAAATTAAAAATATTCCAGTTGTGGTGCAAAACAACATAAAAATAATTATAAATAAGATTAATAATTTAAAATAACAATTTTATTATTCATATCAATATAATTAAATGTATTAATAACGTCGATGAGATAAAAGATTAACAATTAAAATGATACAAATACTAAAAAAACAAAAAAAGGATAAATTAGATTAGGGTTGAAAAAAGAGAGGAAAAAACAGAAGAAGAAGAAGAAGAAGAAGGGTGAAAAGGAGTCGGGTGAAGGGCAGTTGAAAGAGGCAACATATCTTTTTTGGCAAGATGAGATCTTCCCTAAGATCTTCCTCCTCTTTCCAAACCCGACCTTGAACTCGAAAAGATCTCAGCCCTTTTGGAATGCGAGAATGTCTTCCGATCGAGTAACACGTTCGCGTTCCCGTTTAAATTAGAAAGGTTGTATCTGACACGTTTTTGACATTCTCCTTCTTTTCTTCGAGAATTTATATTGCTAAAAAAAAATGTAAAAAAGAAAATCAGAAGAAGAAGAAGAAGAGAAAAAATAAAATACTACCATAAGCAATGTGTATCAAAAAAAGAAAGAAAAAAAAAAAATAAGAAGAATCTTATATAAAACGTGTCCCGATTTTTATTTACTTTTAAATAAAAGAAAGAACAAAAATTGTATACACACTTATTGATCCTAACGTGAATGAAAAAAAGTAAACTAAAAAGAAAACGAAAAAAAAAAAAATATGAAAAATACATTATTAATAATAATGATAAATTAAGTTAAATAATTAATAATGTTTTTTTAGTTAATAAAAAAATCTCACGAAGTTTCGTCGAATCTAAGTTCGTGTATTTATTTATTGTGTTGTTTTGGATAGTAGTGCAAAATTGTATTTTTATTAAAGCCAAATTCGAATTTTTGTTCAACTAAAGTTCATACGTTTATTGTCTTCTTTCATATAGTTTCCAATTTTGTTTAATTAAAGTTAATAAAATTACTTTATATGTAAATAAAATAATTGTTAATAATAATAATAATAATATAAACAAGTCACAAATTTTTATTAAACCAAAGTTCGTGTGTTTATTGTCTTCTATAATACAAAATTTATTTTATTAAAGTCAATAAAATTACAATAACCATAAATGAAATTATTAATAATAAAAAGAAACACAGGAATTTTGATTAAAACAAAATTCGTGCATCTATCATCTGGCTTTATATAATTCCAAATTTATTTATTAAACTCACAATTATTGTATACATAAATAAAATATTATATAATAAAAAACAAACCTCCTCAACAAGAACTTTTGGTTAACCCCAATAACATAAATAATCAAAATAACAATAATAATAATAAAAACAATTAGTTGATAAAACAAATTTAACGTATGCAAAAAATAAACAAAAAATGGTATGGACTATCGTCTTTAAGATGTTTCATTCGCAAAAAGAAAAAAAAAAAAAAAGAAAACAGAAAGAGGAGTAAACACGAAGGACATTTTTAGTCAAATCCTATTCTCGTTTTTCTTCATAGACTAGTTGGCAACAGATTCGTCGTTCTCATAGTGAAACCAAAAAGGTATCTCGTATTTCAAGGATTTCCATTTCCTGTAAACCATCGTAGAGACAGAAGAGGAAGAGAAAGAGAAAACGAAAGACCGAGAGGGAGAGAGAGAGAGAGGAAAATGAAACATTCGAAGAGGTGGGAAACAAAAATTATGAAAGTCCTCTCTTTTTTTTCTTCTTATTTTTTTCCCTGACTTATGGTTCAATGCAAATGAGAGAAAGAAGAAGAAAAAAAAGGAAACTAAACAATACCGATGACTAATGGGGATGTGTGACCCTTGGAAAAGGACCTGACCCTTCCTTTCGAACATCCAATCCACTTTCCTTCTCTGATGTTTTCTTAGGTGGCTTATTCTCCTCCTCCTCCTCCTCCTCTTCCTTCACACGTCACATTCTTCCTTTTTTTTACATATGTAGATTCACAAATTTAACTTATTACCATACTTGACATATTAAGGGTGCCATGTTATCAATGAAGTTTCATTGATCGATCTATGAATGAATGAAAAATGTGATGATGAATTTTTTCTTTTCTTGTAACTTTAAATAATTATTAGTCAGTATTTATTAAACAATTAAAAATATTCATTAATCGTTGCATCTAGTAGAAATTGAATACGATAAAAGTGTCATCTTTCGAATAAAAAGAAGAATAAAAAAAGATTTGTAGGTACATTTGAAAATATTCCCACGATAAAAAGATAATACACGAGAGTAGTTACATCAGTAACAGTAATAGTAGTAGTAGTAGTAGTAGTAGTAATCTACATTCAAGAGAAATATCTATGTTTCTGGTTTTGTCATTAACGATGAATCAAATAGTATACTATATATATATATATATATATAATAGGTGTAAGTGTGTTTAACTGTCAAGCTTTAAAAGCCCAAGTTAAACGTTGCTGTTTAACAGCGTATTAAATATAGATAAAACTCCTACAATTTCAGCACGAGATTACAGAGATCATTTTACCATTTTACCATTTGACATTATTGTAAATATACACACTAACACCTTGCTACAGTTTATGTAAGTTTAAATAACGTTTTGTCATGAGTCAAAAAAGAATCATCTTATGTTTGTGGATCTACATTCGCATTTTTATCTGTCAATCAAAAAGAAAAAAAAAACACCCACACTTTTGTACATCTTCTTTTTTTTTATTCAATGTTGTTTAAAGAATTTAAATGTAAGAACAATTATAAACAAAAATATATACATGTGTGTGTGTGTGTTGCATTAAATTGCATGATATTTTTATTTATAAAAATTTCAGGTCTTTAATGAAGATCAAAACTAAAAAACTGATCTTAACCCTTTGGGTACATTTGATGAGTCTGATTTGTCATCTGAATTTAAGGAAGCTTATTTATAAATGTATAAAATATATAAATTATATAAATATATTTCTATTTTGTTTTATTTATATATTTATTTATATTTTTTAATTGAAATGTTTTTGTTGTGAGGATAAATGTGTTTATTTTAGAATATTGTATAAATATTTATTTTAGAATATTGTATAAATATTTATTTTTCAATATTGCATAAATATTATTTTTCTAATATTGTGTAAATATTTATTTTTCTAATATTGTATGAATATTATTTTTCAAATATTGTATTAATATCATTTTTGAATTTAAGTTTTTTTGCTATTTTATTATTTAATCTTTTCTATTCTTATTGTGGTATTATATTGTTTATTATTAATTAATTTTATGTTTAATTTGAAGTCCCAGAAATTATAAGTTAATTTGACTGTATTAAATGATTTAGAATTATATTAAATCAACGTTCAATAGATGGTGCTGTATTACAATTCAATTATTTCACGCTTTTTTTCAGATTTTCATATGTATTCCATTTTAATTGTGTTATTATATTGTTTATTATTATTTATATTAAAAATTTGATATTGTTTTACACTTATATTGAAGTCCCAGAAATTATTAGTTGATTTGACTGTATTAAATAGTTCAATATTATATTAAATTAATATTTTTTAATAAAATCACATCAACACGTGGCTGGAGTAGTCTCGTAAATGTACATAGATTAAAAATATATTTTATAATATGAAATAATAATAATAATAAAAAAAAAGAAAAATATAAAAGTAGATAAGAAGTAGTGGGAGAGATAAAGGATGATTTTTAATGAAACTTCAACATATCGAACTGGTAAATGTAACATGGGTGTCTACAAGTGTATGGATATTTTTGGACATCGCATCTGGTTGAACGCAAATCTTTAAACGTCTTGACTTTGGAACTCGTCAGTCTTCGTTTGCTCTTTGCTGAGGTTCAAATCCTTTCTTAAGACTTGTACACCTATTTTACTTCTTCTTCTTCTTCCTTCTTTTTTTTTTTTTTATACACAAAATTATAATAAAACAACAACTATTATCTATGGCAAATCATACGGCACGGTCAGGTAGTGTTTTGTCTTTTCTTTTCTTTTCTTTTCTTTTGATTTTTTTTTTATAAATGAATTTCATCTTTTTTATTTTTATTATTTAAGATATTTTATCAAAGACAAAAAAAAAAGAAATAAATATAATTTTAGATATAGTGGAAGTTACGTTTCAAGCTTATGCTAGACAACAATCAACAAACGAAGAACCAACGAGAAGAAGATGTTGTCATTTAAAAATTCGTTTTGTGATAATGGCAATAATTTCAATAGTGGTTGCTTCATTTATTATATATTGGTTCGTTAACTCAATTTTGGTTAGTCGTAATGAAAACAGAAAACATGATCCTAACAGGCATAGTAGTTCTGTTACGAGAAAACAATCTTATCTCGAAAGACTTCCTAATCAACTTATACCATTGGAATATACGTGAGTAAATATAAATCAATACAAAAAATATATATTTATAAAAGTATGTGTGTAGTATAATAATAATTGATGAAAAACAAAAGTAAAATTAAATAGAAAAACAAAACAAAACAATATATATATATATATATGTATGTATATGTACATGAGTTTATAATTATGAATATAGTTCAATTATTGGTTAATTATATTTTTAATAACTCCTGCTTTCAAAGTTCAATTTTGTAGTCTTGCCTAGTAACCGTAAAGTCGCGTATTCTCGTGATGATGGTGGTAACTATGTAGTAACTGTGGTTGTTACTATAGTAGCATGGGGGAATGAAAATTATCTATGACTTTAATTAAAATTAAAATTTCAACAAAAAGAAGTTGAATGAATGAATGAATGAATTTTACATTTAATAACTGTACGGTTAATTTTCATTTTGACGATAAAAAAAGTAATATTATTTTTGTTCTATTATCAGTAATTAAGATTTAAATTTAAAATAATAAAACTCAAATTCTATGAAAATGAATTAAAAACTTTATTTAAAATGGAACCCTATATATTATGGATTGATTATAATTTTTTGATAACTAATATAGTTAAACTAATTACAACATTACTTTATAAATGAATAATTTCTCTCTATTGAACTTTGAAAACAGTCGTTACAAAAAATATTGTTCGATAAATATGTCCTAATTGAGGCATTCAGAGGGCTTAATTGAGACACTCGCCTAACGGCTCGTGGGGGTAATCTGTGTACTCGGCCCTGTTGTAAACGCGTCGTTACTTAGGCTCGTGTTTCAATTTTTAAGCCCTGAAATGCTTATTTTCGCACATATGTATCGAAAATATCTACTTTATAATATTGAAATAATGAACAATTATCTAAAGTTTCATATTTTATACAGTATAATAAAAAGTTTAGTGACAATAGTAATAAAATTAAATCAAATAAAAAAAAATATATATTTATATGTTTTTATAATTATGAAAATAGTTTAATTATTAGTTAATTATATTTTTTATTTTGTAATATGTAAAAGAATTATATTTATAATGTTGAAATAATAATCATCTATCTAAAGTTTTATTTCTGAAAATATGTTGAATTAATTTAATTTTAAAACAATAAAATATAAAATAAAATAAAATAAAATAAAATAATGTGACTTGAATTATAAATTCCTTTTTTTTATTTTTTTATTTTTTTTTCTTATTTATTTTTGTTTAATTTTGTCTGAAATAATTTTCATAATTATGGATACATAAGCAAACTCATACATGTATGTATATAAATATATAATTAGTTCAGTAAATGGATAAACCATTACGAAGAACGTTTTTATTGTTTGAATTATTTCTACAGATTACAAATAATTCCATTATTGACAGAGAACAATTTTAAAATCATCGGCGATGTTGAGATTCAACTCTATTGTAAACAATCAACGAAACACATACGTTTACATTCTCACAAATTAAATATACAAAACGTCAGCACGAGTTACGTTAGTATGAAAAACAAAACGTACATCATTGATAATTACGTATCCATTACTGACGATGATTTTCTTGATATATTTTTATTACAATTATTGATGAAGGATCACATTTATATTTTACAAATTAAATATATTGCTAATTTAATAGAAGAACCAATTGGTTTGTTTCGTACCAAATACAACGATGAAATCAACAATGTTACAAGGTTAGTTTAAATTTCATTTGCACGACGAATTATTCTTTTTTTTTTTATGTAAAAAAATGTTTTTTTTTTTTTTTTTTAATAGGAAAACATTGAAATAAAAATTTATTTAAAAAAAAATAAAAAAATAAAAAGCTTGCCAATCGTTCGTTTTTCTTTTTTTCTTTTTTTTTTTTTTATATTTCAGTCAATATATTCGTTATATTTTAGATGGATAGCCGTATCGAATTTTTCACCAGATTTTGCTCGAAGAGCTTTCCCATGCTTTGATGAACCGTCGATCAAGGCTCCTTTTCGAATTTCGATCGGTCGAAGGGTCGACATGCGGACCCACTCGAATTCAATACGGATTGCTACCGAGAAAATGTAAGTTTCTACTTAACCGTTAATCCCTACTTCCTCGTAACTTTCTATCAACTTCCAATGTGAACAAAAAGAACAAAGAATAAATAAAGAAAAAGAAAAACAGAAAAAAATTCATTTTCAAAGAAAAGAGAAAAGGGGAAAATCGTTTAAGTGAAACCAACAACAAAAAAATTAAAAAAAAATAAAAAGAAATTGCAATCAATATTTGATTAAAATATAATATTAAAAAAAAAAAAAAAAAATAACTAGTTCGAAGTTTTACAGAATAAATTTATTCCTCGTAACATTTTAACAAACTAAATTTCATTTCATATAATTAAAATAATTCTTATAAAATATGAATGAATAAAAAGTAGAATTAAGTATTATTTTAAATATTAAATAATAAAAAAATAATATAATTTCTATAAAATTTAAATACTTTAAATAAATATATACTTTGCATAAAACAATTATTAAAAATATCGACAAATTATTATTTATATTTAGAATTTATTTTACACATAAAAAAAAAAACAAACAAAACAAATAGAAACAATGATATTATAATAATTAATAGAAAATATAAATAATAATAAAATAATTCAATCCCTATTTTTACGATTTTCTAGTAAAAATAAGAAATTATGATATAATAATTAATATAAAAATAAATATTGATATTATATATATATAAATATATAATAATTAAATCCCACCCTCCCCCTCCCCCTCCCTCTCCCCTTCCCCCACTTTTTGATTTCGTTTAGTAAAAAAATACCAAATCATGTGTGGGACCATTATAAGAAAACACCACCAATGTCAACGTATCTGATTGCTATAATGGTGACCGATTTTGAAAGTTATCAAATTAATGTTACCGATCGTCCATTTTATAATGTGTTAGCAAGAAAATACGTGCAAAATGATACCAAGTATATAGGAAATTTAATACCATCGATAGTTCGGTTGATGCAAAATTTAACGGGATTCCATTACGACTTGGACAAGCTCGATATGATAGCGGTACCAAGTTTGGCATATTCGGCGATGGAAAATTGGGGTCTCATTACGTTTCGGTATATATTCACATTACATATCTACGTTAATATTTTTATATACATATATACATATATATATATATATATATATATATATATATATATATATATATATATATATATATATATATATATATATATATACATACTTGAAAATGATGTATAGGATGTTACAAAATTGATTTAATTTAAACATTCATCTTTTTTCTTATCAATTTTCTTTTTTCAAGTTCATTTAGAATTTATGAACGTTGTTGATGAAAATAATATTTAAAAAAAATATATATATATATACATATACAAATATATATTAATATATAATGTATATAATTTTAATTTAACTTTAAATTAATATATATATATATATATATATATATGTTATATTAATATATTAATGTAATTTATTAAATAATATTTTAGTTATTGATTGAATAATGAATTTATATATTAATAATATTATAAATTTAATTAATTTAAATTATTAAATAATTAATTTTATAATTATTAAATAATTATATTATAAATAATATAATTGTAAATATTTTTATTTCACAGTGAGAGTAATATGCTCATAAATAATAATAAAAAACAACATAAAGATAATAAAAAATTATTTGCAATCATAGCATCTCACGAAGTGGCCCATCAATGGTTCGGTAATTTGGTAACACCAAAATGGTGGTCAGAAGTATGGTTAAAAGAAGGTTTTTCATCATTCTTTGGTATCATGGCATTAACCATGGTAAGAAAAATAAACAGATATAAATAAAATGAACAAAAGAAATCACATTCTCTCCTGATTATTATTATGATTTTGTTTTATTAAATTCGATTACGGTTATATCAATTTCAGATTGAATCTTCTTGGAGTGTAGAAGAAATGATGGCTTTGGAATATCGTAAAATGTTTGAAAAAGAAGAAAAAGAGAATGCACATCCTTTGTATATCAATTTAAATATTACCAGGAATAAATTAAGTGATATATTCGATACAACACCATACGTTAAAGGAAATTGTTTGGTCAATATGATATTTCATATTATCGGTGAAACGATATTCTTTAAATCGATTAAAAAATATATTCGAACGTATTATTATCGTGCAGCTGATCAAAACGATCTATGGGACATATTTCAAGATGAAATTGAATTGTCCAAATTATTTACTAAATTGTCGATTAAAACCATCATGAAAAGTTGGACAAATCATGCTGGGTTTCCCGTTCTTCACGTTATTAGAAATAACCATACCGGTTTTGTCGAACTCATGCAGGTCTTTAGAAAAAAAATAATCCGAAAAGTACACATATACATACACACAACATCATAGATTTTTTTTGGTCTATTTGAGCCGCTACTTTTGAAACTGTTTTAATTCCATTTATGTTCGAATCGAGATATTGAAGGGTTTGCATTTCAGTGCAATGAAAAATACACTTACAAACGACTTATACTACTTAAGTGAAAATTTGATACATATTCATTTCTGACAATTCACATTCTTGACCCTTTTCAAAATTGCGTTTTTTAATAATTTTGTTCATACAAAATCTTCTTGTCTAATATAAGCAACAATAATATAAGCAACCTCAAATTGATACATAACATGAAATTGTACAATAACCAGGTGCAATCGGAAAATAATAAATGACAAATGGAGTTAGGCCACATTCAAAATGGACGACTCATTTCATCACATTTATTATAATCAAAGTATAACGATAAAAGAATGAGATGAATGATAATATTTTTAGGAAAGATTTTATAGGATGAATTTAAACGTTGATGATAAAAGCGAGGAATTATGGTGGATCCCTTTAACGTGGACAATCGAAAGTGATCAAAGATTCGATGGGACTTTGCCTAAGGCATGGATGCATGAAAGACGCATGGTGATTAATGATACTGGCTTGAGTGAAGCAATTTTCAATAATCAATGGATTCTCTTTAATATCAACCAAACAGGTCACAATGTAATATAATATAATCATCTCGTATAAAGATGAGATAAATAGAAAAAAGATATACATAAAATAAAAGTAAAGAAAGTGAGATTAAATAAGAGAAAATAAAAATGAAAGAGACAGAGAGAAAGAAAAAATTTTAACATTTAACGAGATGAAGTTATGGTGTTCGAATACTTAATAACGTTGTAGTTGTTGTTTTTTTTTTATTTTTTATTTTTTTTTTATATTATTCCTTTTTTTAAACAGGATTGTATCGAGTGAATTATGATGAAGAAAATTGGAAACTTTTAAATAATCGATTCGATCATTTACCAGATAGAACAAAGCTTCAAGTGTTGAGTGATGCTTTTGCTATGTTCAACAAAGGATTACTCGATCAAGCTTTGTTATGGAAATTTATTTTTAAATTGAACGTTGATACGGAGAAAAATGTATGGTTGTTGGTTAAAGATGCTTTGAAGTATATCGAATATCGTTTATGGGATTCTCATGTATTTAGGGTAAGAAAATTCTATTTTTTATTTTATTCATAGAAAAAGTATATTATATATTATTAAATATATTAATATATATATATA